AACCATGTTTTCAGCTTAGTTTTCCAGAAGTGACCCTCTGTGGACTGTAATAGTCGCCGATGGAGGACAGCGTGACACTTTCCGGAAATTGTACGTGCTTAAAGACGTTCGTGCAAAGAGAGACGTCCACCTCTGCCAACTTCCGGTTCATCGCGTTCATGTCATACAAACACCAATATTTGTGTATAATTGTGTATCTGACACAAATTTTGAATAAAGTGTAGTTTGTAGCGAGAGACGCAAGTAGTATATGACATATTTCCACATTTATATACGACTAGCGCTGATCTGCGTTACATTGTAAAGGCTTTGCTGCCATCTGTTGGCTTGGAGAATGAACGTCATTTGAACCAAGTCTATCATTAAAAGGTAGAATATTATTATCCAAAACTGAAGGGTTATCAGGTTTAGTGTATACAGCTGTTCCACAATCAGTCATAATAGAAGTGGATACTATTTTGGTTAATTTCATAATTTCATGACAATTTGTTGTGTAGGCCTATATATTTATGGAATATTTTCCCTGAATTGATTATTGAAGAGTTGGGAGGTTTCGTTTTTTTTTAAAGATATAATTTTGATATAAATAAGGTTCTGGTAAAGCTTTCTTGTTTTCATTGTTTTTTTTATTTATTATTATTATTATTATTACAGATGCTTATTTTTAAACATAACTTTTCTCCACAACAAATATATTACGTTTAAAAACAAGTCCTTATTCGGTATAATATTGGTGAGACAGTTGGTCTATTTAAGAATAATAGACATTTATTTAATAACTGTGAATTCCTTAATTATTATAAGATCCCTGTAATTGTTTAAAGAGTCTATCTCCCTATAATCAGTTAAGTATTAACATTGTGAAGATTAATGATAAAACATTTTTTAACTTTTATATAAAAACATTATGCAGAAAAATATCACGGCCTAAATGCAAACCATTTTGGAATTTAATGTATAACCAGATTGAATGCAAAGATGTCTGGAGTTTAGTTACTGTCTCACCAGTAAAGTTAAACAAGTTACATATATAAAGTTATTCATTTGATTTACCCAGTGAGACATGGAGACTACATGTGTCTTTATAGAGAAAGAATCCATATGATATTTAAACTCACAAAATTAAAGATTCAGCTATCTAGTAAAGATATACACTCACCGGCCACTTTATTAGGTACCCCATGCCAGGGGCGTAGCACAAGATCCCGGGCCCTATGCATAGGCAGTCCTGATGGACCCCACAATGCAATGCAAACAGCCTATCAATTTAAAATTAAACATGTTTCAAATTAGGCTATTATAATGAAGTTTTGTATGCAAACAGCATTATTAGTGTACAGTTTACACGTATAACCAAATTATCATCTGAAAGTGTATGTGGCAGAACATACACTTTCAGATGATAATTTGGTTATATGTAATCTGAGGTAAAGGCTAAATAAATAAACTGTACACTAATAATGCTGTTTGCATACAAAACTTCATTATAATAGCCTAATTTGAAACTAAAATTTTAAATTAATAGGCTATAATATCTAAAATTAGCAATAATAGGCTAATTAGTCTCACTCATAGGTAGCTTGGTAGCTCTGTAGCTACAGTGAAACTCGTTGGGTTGTCTCAGTTCATTTTTAGCACTAACGAGCAGTTTAGCACTATAAATTTCGTGTTCTGGTTTGTGCTCACCTTTCTTTGAAAAGAAGTCAGTAACCAATTGTTTCCCCTCATTTTGTTTTCTTTCCTTCTCCTGTCTTTCCTTTCTTTTTTGGTGGCCTGATTTAGCTTTCTTTGAGAAAGACATTTCTACAGCGCTCAACGAGATGCAGCTCAACTAACATTAGGCTTGTTTGAGATGCGCCTTGCCTCGCCTGAAATGTAGTCGAGAGTAGGCGGCTGCAGTGAGAGGAGGAGTGAAAAAAGCGCAGGCAAGCCGGACAGATCGCTCTTCTCGCAGTGGATCTGACACCTGTGAGATCAAAGGCGGATATCGCGGGATTCACGGGATTCACACTCGTGCACGGTGTTGCTAATAAACTGGATGTATTTTAAGTTTTGTTGCTTGAATATGAAAATAAATATAATGAACAAGACACCCAAGTACTTATTTAATTCCATTTTAAATAGGCATATATGTTTATGAATCATTTTTTCTTTAATACAGATAGGCCTATGTGTTTTTTTGTGTTTTTTTTTTTAATTACATCACATAGATCGCACTGTCAGAGAGTTTGGGGATATCCACACATTATCTATACACATAAAACATGATATCAGAGTTTTAAAATCAAACATTTTAAAAGAGAACAATACATCACGGTTGTTTAAACCAATGAGCATTAAGCTGTGCCGTCAGCAAGTCGTTTCCCATGCTTTTGATCAGCGCAGTCGGTGGAGAGCAACTGCGCGCGACTGCAGAATCCAACACGTGCGCCTTGCGGTCGCGAGAGTTTTTTGACACACGTCAGCATGACATCAGAGCAAGGCGGACCGCACTCGGACACATTTCTAACCGGCATGCATCTCGCGCTGATCACCGGTGATCGGTTCTGCGCAGATTTTGCTCATCTCAAACAAGCCTATTTACAAAATGCGTGCAGATGGACTAAACCATTTGGCGCATTAACAAGGGGTGGGACCATAAGACCGTCAATCAATCAATCAACCAATCAACCAAGTTATTCAGTTAATACACTAACTTTACATTTCATCTGACATTCATTATGAAATTTAATTAGGAAATGAAAATATCAAGGTAAAATCAAATATATTCCAGACTTTTCAAGGGCCCTCTCTCCCCTTGGGGCCCTGGTAATCAGTACTGGTTTTACCCCCAGTCCGACGCCCCTGCCCCATGCTAGTAACGGGTTGGACCCCCTTTTGCCTTCAGAACTGCCTCAATTCTTCGTGGCATAGATTCAACAAGGTGCTGGAAGCATTCCTCAGGGAGTTTGGTCCATATTGACATGATGGCATCACACAGTTGCCGCAGATTTGTCGGCTGCACATCCATGATGCGAATCTCCCGTTCCACCACATCCCAAAGATGCTCTATTGGGTTGAGATCTGGTGACTGTGGAGGCCATTTTAGTACAGTGAACTCATTGTCATGTTCAAGAAACCAATTTGAAATGATTAGAGCTTTGTGACATGGTGGAAGTAGCCATCAGAGGATGGGTACATGGTGGCCATAAAGGGATGGACATGGTCAGAAACAATGCTCAGGTAGGCCGTGGCATTTAAACGATGCCCAATTGGCACTAAGGGGCCTAAAGTGTGCCAGGAAAACATCCCCCACACCATTACACCACCACCACCAGCCTGCACAGTGGTAACAAGGCATGATGGTTCCATGTTCTCATTCTGTTTACGCCAAATTCTGACTCTACCATCTGAATGTCTCAACAGAAATCAAGACTCATCAGACCAGGCAACATTTTTCCAGTCTTCAACTGTTCAATTTTGGTGAGCTCTTGCAAATTGTAGCCTCTTTTTCCTATTTGTAGTGGAGATGAGTGGTACCCGGTGGAGTCTTCTGCTGTTGTAGCCCATCCGCCTCAAGGTTGTGCGTGTTGTGGCTTCACAAATGCTTTGCTGCATACCTCGGTTGTAACGAGTGGTTATTTCAGTCACTGTTGCCCTTCTATCAGCTCGAACCAGTCTGGCCATTCTCCTCTGACCTCTGGCATCAACAAGGCATTTCCGCCCACAGAACTGCCGCTCACTGGATGTTTTTTCTTTTTCGGACCTTTCTCTGTAAACCCTAGAGATGGTTGTGCGTGAAAATCCCAGTAGATTAGCAGTTTCTGAAATACTCAGACCAGCCCTTCTGGCACCAACAATCATGCCACGTTCAAAGTCACTCAAATCAACTTTCTTCCCCATACTGATGCTCGGTTTGAACTGCAGGAGATTGTCTTGACCATGTCTACATGCCTAAATGCACTGAGTTGCCGCCATGTGATTGGCTGCTTAGAAATTAAGTGTTAACGAGCAGTTGGACAGGTGTACCTAATAAAGTGGCCGGTGAGTGTATATTTTTATTGTATAAGAGTAAGAGTTTGGAGCAAAATTTGGTGATTAATTTAATAATTATGTATGGAAAATACCATATACATAAACAAAAATGGACAAATAATAAACCTTTTTTAAAACTGAACTTATGTATGCAGGGAGGCCCTAAAAGGAAAACGGATATTTTGAATTATAGAATCCTTTTCTCTTGGTAATTTCTTGTAAATTATCGTTCTCAATTTTTTTTTTCTACTTTTGATATTTCCTTAATGCTATTATGAATATAACAGTTGAATACATTGCGATCATTGTGAAGTGTATATTATGTTAATGTTCTTGTTAATACAATACAAAAAGTTAAATATAGACTGTTTAAATGCATGTTATGGCATAATAATTATATGGCACATTTTTACTAGGAAGGTTAGATCAGCATGGCCTAATTAATATCTACTAGATCATGAATTAAGAGATCTTTAGAGATCTTAGTACATGGAGATAGAAAACTTGTCAAAAATTAAAGTGAAGATAAAAGGATTTCTTGGCGAACAAATGAAATAATGGCAATTCCTTAATCTTTTTATTGGCATTAATAAACCTGTGTTTTACATGTAAACATAGCCATTGACTTCCATTCAAACCATTGACTTCCATTCAAACGAACAGTCTTTCTCCCAGTCTGGATCTCTCCAGTAGCACCTCATTGCAGTACACGAGATCCAGGGGGCGGAGTTAGATCCAGATCTAAGGGGTGGGGTTAGGGATCCCGGCGTAGATGTGTAGGATTAGTCATATGTAAGGTGGGAGGAGTTGGATCTGGATCCAACTCCTCCCCCTGGATTTCGTTTTCTGCAATGAGGACCATCTCGATCTTTTAGGCCATTTTGAGCGCAGATGGTAGTCTCCCTCTTTAACGAAGGGCTCTGATATCCACTCGACCAGGAAATGGATTAAAAGTTGTAACTTCGGACGTTCAATTATTGTCGTTAACACTTCTGGAGTTCTTAAAGACCCAGAGACAGACTACACACTGTCACAACACACTGAGCAACAGTTATGGAGAGCTTTAATTTGCAACAATTTACCTCAGATATGAATATTAACTGGACGCCGATATTTGCAGCCACAGTTTGCGGTACAGGTGCCTTAATTCTCTGCTGGAAATGGAGAAATAACCAGAAGATTCAGAAGAAAATACTAAACGCACGGAAAAGACGTGATAAATCACTTCAACGGGCTGAACAAGCAGTGCAACAATTTAAAATACAGGTAATACAAATCTAACATGCATCAATTATTAATGCGATAGCCTATGCATTATGTATAGAGTGTTTAAATGCATGTCATGCATTTAGATCAAGGCATGGTTCCCACGGCCATTGAAATTCTGAAATGATCATGTTGTCTCTATATTGTCTAAGTTGTCACAGTGGATTTTTTTTTTTTTTTTGCAAAATTAATTTAATTAAATACAATGAATAATTTATTAAATTAAGTAATCAATCCATCATTCCATAAAATTTAAATAAATTAATAAAATTAAAACAAACTAAATGTGTCAACTTTCCCCCATCTGACTTTAATGGAGAACAACCCTCGGTTTATCTTCACTATATTATTGACTTTTGACCTAATGTATGTGAGTGTGGTGTTATTGTGTGCATCTTAACAGATTTAGATTTATACAGAAAAATATTATGATACTGGAAAACTTCCCCTATATATTTTTAACTAAATGTTTGGAAACCAACATAGAAAACCACTGTAAGCATTTGTGTAACTGGACTTTTTCTTCAAGTTTGTGAGATCAAGCCACTGTGACAACTAGCCCCAGTCTCCCCTAGCTGAACATGTGAACATCTGATGTTTGTTTCTTCTCTCCAGAACCCAGACTTTGAGAGCAGTTCAATAGTGTCTCTGTCTTTGTCGGAGCTCACTGGGAGACTCGAGGAAGGCTCCCTGCAGCCGGATGCGGTTCTACATGCTTTTATGGAAAAGGTTGTGACTGCGGACATATTTTACCTGTCGATAACTCTTCATGGGATTTATGAGTTTATTCCCAGCTCCAGAGGTTTACAAATAACTTTTTTATTGTAAATCTTTTTAAACATTGATCCATCTTTTTGCTGTCTAGATGCCATTTACTAATAGTTTTAATTTTTACTCAATATTATAAATCTCAGTAAATAAGTAAATAAATATGTCTCTTCTTCAAGAAAGAAAAACTGTTTCTAATTTCTAAAAAAAATATAACATTGCAGTTATGATATTATGCAAATAATTCATTTGAATTGATTTGGTCATAATGCGGGAAATCAAAGGCATTTTGAGTTGATGCATTTAGGAAAAATAGGCATGCAGCCCAACATAGTAATAATTAACAGAAAAAAGATAAGAGTAAACAATACAAAACTTTTGTCTGGTTCATATGATCAATCTGCCCATACAGGCTATTTTGAACAAATGTGCATAAATCACAGGCTATAAAGACGCTTGTAGATTACAGTCTTTATAAATGAAAAGAACAAGCCAAACATGAGCCTTCGCTGTCATGCAATAGGCTATCTGGATATTTGAGCAGATTCACTCTGCATTTAAACGCGGTTGTCTCTCCTGCAACTCCGCAATGTATATGACAAATAAAACTTTTATTCAAATTATGAATAGATTATATACAGAAAGTGAGCAAAGAGTCGCAGCGCGATTGGCTACAATTCTCATCTCTGCAAATCACGTTGTAATTAGAAACCTTTGACGGTCTTCAGACTACAGAGAGTGTGAACCATAGACTGTAAAAAAAGATGGACGACGCCCCTTCGCTCTCTTCCATTGGTCAGAACTGAAGCCGCCAGTGTCCCGATATGGCGCTGACATATTGGAACTTGAGTCTGCGCAGAAGCGATTTCGGGACCAGACCTGCGCAGTCGTGAGCCGGAAGTAAAGCCGCGAAATCAAGGCCCCGCCCTCACTCTCGCAGAATCAATCGCAAGCACACGCTCCTGCACTTTTTTAAAATTAATTATAGAAATTTAGATATTCAATTTAAAGCTCCAATCTCCTCAGTCCTCCGAAGATCCCGAAAAAAAGTCCGTTGGTGCTTCAGTGACAACTTCGCTCAGAGAACGTTGTCAATCACAGCTGTCAATCATGACGTCACACCACCGCATCAAATAACTAACTAAAAACAAACTTATTTTAAAAACAAACACTTGAAATTACATCAGCGTGATAAAAACTACAGTAAATGACAGAAACCATATTTGAAAAAATGATATTTGAAGTGTAATTTTATTGTTTAGTTGGTCTTTAGTTGAATAACATGGGGAGGCGGGGTTTATGAGCTATACTGGAACCGGCCACTGGGGGCGGGGGCGATCGAAACGCTTGGGCTTCACTTTTCAGGGCTTGTGCGGCACGCTTGGGTGTGAACACACACCAGCACGGGACCGTTTGACAGCAGCTGCCTATGAGTGGGTACCGAATTGAGTTGAAATAGTCAACTATTCAGCTATTGGACCCGCAGTCCTCCGTGCCTATTGATTCCCGGCTCGCACCTGCACTCTACGCCTGTCAAGCTTTCGCGGCTGCCACGTCTATTACAGTGTGAATGCACCGGTGTCAGACATTCCCAAGGAGATATTTAGTCATTTTTGGCGAACAGGTGAAATATCTGAGAGAGCAAGACAAAAGGGACTGCAGTATGCATTCGAGGGATATATCCACGACATATGCAACCGATTAGAGAATAATTTAATCAAAATTGAAGCTAAAGCCTATAACGTTAGGTCCCAGCGCAAGCAGCAGCCGCCTCCTTAGCAGACCATTCACATGGGAAACACACAAATTGAACAGCTATGTTCATGCACAGCAGAGTAAGTGAAATGTGAAGATAATCTAATAATTACAAATCAAACAGCTTATCCATCAATCTAACACCGGGAGAGCCGCGATCGGACTGGGGTAAAGTTACAGGGGTAACGTTAGTAGGCCGTCGATTAACAAAATGCTGAAATATATTTTAAAGTATGTCAGTGAGCCTCCGTCTTGCCTTTAATCGTCTTATTTTACGTTCAAATATATGCATTATGAACAAAGAACCGCAATTATTTCCAACTATAGGCGTTTTTTTTTTTTTTTTAATCCTGTCGACATTTAGTTGTGAATGGGTCTCCACACTGCCTGATCCCCGCCCGGGATTTCTCTCCTTTGGCTTTTAGGTTTCAGGAAGAGAAAAAATTCCACCCCACCGTCCAAACTTTTAGGAGACCGGGTATCAGATTTGCACAATCCATACGCACAACGCGTCGGCTTGTTTCCCTCGCTCGAAAGCTTGACAGACCTCCCGCGCCTAGTTACGGTTGCTAAGCCACGATTGGCCAGTGGCGGTTTTCGGGCGTGGCTTAGCGAAGGGTCAATTGACTACGTAAACATTAATCTACCCGTTACATCAAATATTAGCGGTTGCCCGCGTGCAAGACGTGCGTGCAAGACGTGCGTGATTCTGCAGCCAATGAGATTGCTTGCTCAATATTTAAATAGCCTAGTTCAGTGTTCGCTGTAGGCTTGTCCTGAGAGTTTTCTGGACCCCTCCACCTCCCCAGCTCCACCTGCACAGATCTGCTATGGGATTCGCGTATGTCTGCCTATACAGTAGCAGCATATCTTACATTCTCACAGCAGCGTGTCTGTGTATCTATTATTAGTAGCAAGTCCATACTTACTCTGCAGCAGCAGCAACATCAGCGGGAGAATCGAGTCCGCCGGCGCCAAGACCAAATACATTAACATCATCGCCATATTCAGTAGCATGCTCAAACTATTCCGAGAGTTTTCATGATTGCAGTCATATATCTGCGTGCATATATACTTATGTAGTAAAAAACAAAACAAAGGTATACATATAGAATACATATAGATTATATGGAAGCTTTTTTCCACCACAGAATAAAAAATGTTAAAAGGTAATTGCGGGCTTTTTATCTCACAATTCTGACCTTTTTTTTCTCTCACAATTGCGTGATATAGTCGCAATTGTGAGTATTAAAGTCAGAATTGTGAGGAAAAAAGTCTTTTTTTTCCTTAGAATCGGACTTTATAACTCACAATTGCGAGTTTATATCTCACAATTTTGAGAAAAGATGTCGCAATTGTATGTTATAAAGTCAGAATTGTTTTATATCTCGCAATTCTGACTTTATATTTAGCAATTCTGAGAAATAAGTCAGATTTGCGTGATGTAAACTCGCAATTGGGAGATAAAAAGTCGCAATTATCTTTTAAAATGTTTTATTATGTGGTGTAAACAAGCTTCAATAAAAAAAAAAAGATTTATTACTATATCATTTTTTTTTTTTTACTTTGGGATGATAGAAAAAAGTGCAGAAAAGCAGCAGAAAAATAATAATGCAAACAATAAGCAATTATCAGCACTTATTGTTGAGGTCTGTTTGAATGAAAGCACTTGGCATCACAAACTGAGATGTGTAATGTCTCACTTCAAAGGCTCTGGAGGTGAACAAGAATCTGAACTGCGGCACTGAGATCTTAATGGAGTCTGTGGCGCAACTGAAGGAAATCAACACTCAAAAGAAAGGTCTTCTGTACGGAGTGCCGATCAGCATCAAGGACAACGTTGGATATAAGGTCAGTATAAGAGAACAGAGGATTACGCAGGTGAAGAGAGGTGACTTCCTGTTTGTGGTGTACGTAACTTCCTGTTTGCGTGTGCAGGGTCATGATTCTTCATGTGGTGTTGTGGGTAATTTGGATCAGCCTGCAGTCATGGACAGTGTGGTGGTTACAGTGCTAAAGAAACAGGGCGCCATCCCGTTCATCAAGACCAACATACCACAAGGCCTTCTCAGGTGAGTAAACACTGCGCATCATTCCCACGGGGAAAACCTGGTGATGTCAGATGACGAGCCATGGGAATTAATCTTAAGCCAATGAGAGAGTATGAAGAGACCGTGCAGTTAGCAGCTCTTTTACTGGAGCTTAGGCAATAAAGTTAATTCGTATTTTTCTGACATTATTAATGACAACTACGCACATTTATCCTCCAGTTGTTAATGTGAAAACTTATTTTCATGACAATGGGAAAATATATATATATTATTTAAATTGTAAAGTACAGTTGTAAGTTAAAATGTCAGTGTTTGTTGTACTGAATTTAATTTGGCTTTTTTAAATAAAATAAAAATAAAACATTGTGAGAATTTGGGGGAAAAATGTGCATGTTTCAACATTGTCACAATGCAAAAATAATAATAATAATGCTCCTAAAGATGAGGTTTATTTTTTATGACTTAATAAAGAAGGTAATGTGTCATTTTATTTTCATTTTGCAGTGACTTTTCTTCACCTTCTCACCTCGCAAAGCAATTTATTTGGTACTATTTTCTATAGAACAGAGACATGCAAGCCCTCTGTTCAGCCTTCTTTTTAAAAGCTAGTATGCTGTTTCTAAAAGGACTAGTCTAATACACTCACCAAAAGGATTATTAGGAACACCTGTTCAATTTCTCATTAATGCAATTATCTAATCAACCAATCACATGGCAGTTGCTTCAATGCATTTAGGGGTGTGGTCCTGGTCAAGACAATCTCCTGAACTCCAAACTGAATGTCAGAATGAGAAAAAGCAATTTTGAGCGTGGCATGGTTGTTGGTGCCAGACGGGCCGGTCTGAGTATTTCACAATCTGCTCAGTTACTGGGATTTTCACGCACAACCATTTCTAGGGTTTACAAAGAATGGTGTGAAAAGGGAAAAACATCCAGTATGCGGCAGTCCTGTGGGCGAAAATGCCTTGTTGATGCTAGAGGTCAGAGGAGAATGGGCCGACTGATTCAAGCTGATAGAAGAGCAACTTTGACTGAAATAACCACTCGTTACAACCGAGGTATGCAGCAAAGCATTTGTGAAGCCACAACCGGGGGGGACGGGGGGGGACACGTCCCCCCCACTTTTAGATACAGGTGATTCTGTCCCCCGCATTTTTTTTTACTCAGCGCCAATATTTCCGCCCGTGTTCTCTGATTTGTTACTTAGACTTGAGTGAGCTAACATTCAGCCAATCACAGCGCGAAGCATCTATTGGCCGCGTCTGCCATGAGCTTTAAATCTTTTGTTGCTCTTGTGAATTTTCGTGTTTGTTTAGTCGCTTTGCTGTTTGGCCGTCTATGCACCCCAGAAAAAAAGCAGAGGACTACATCATTTTTTTCCAAACACACACTGTTACAGTATGTCGCGATGACATGAATCACACGTAAATTTTCCTTGTTATGATTTAACCTACTGTAACGCTGTAAGAAGTGTAAGACAACAGAACCCGTATGGACCTCGTCACGTCGCGCCGGATTGTGTCGAGTGTGTGTTAAATGCTCTCCTACTTATTGCTTTGGATAAAAGCGTCTGTTAAATGAGACATAACAGATTATTCCCAGCAGGCACACAACGTCATAAGACGTTGATATTTGGTCAAATTTTGGTTGCGACGTCGGGTGACCAAAATTCAATGTAAATTCAACATGTCAATGTTAAATTGATGTCCAATACCGAATACATTGATTTAGGTTTTATTGATATATTTTTATAAAATGTCTGTTGTATAAAATTACTGTAGGCTAGATGTAATCTGTTCTGTACTCATTGAACACTTTTTTTTGTCCAACTGTTAAGAAGTAAGATAAAAGTTATTGTTCAAGTGTAGGCCTAGTTTAACTGAAATATTGTAAATATCATAAAATATATTTATTTCATAAAATTAAAGTATATATGTCCACAGTTGTGTGAAAGTCCCAAGTCCTGCAATATTTTTTTATTTCGAGTATGATTTCACAAAAATAGGTTGCTGTAAACTATCATGGCATGTTCCCAAAATTGGCACTAGGGTGCTGTAAAATGCCAATTGCTATTCCATCTAGAATTTATTAGTATGAACATCACCTTTCAGTCCCTCCAAAAAAACGCGATTATGCGATCGCATGATTCAATGCATAATCAGCCAAAGTCTGCATATTTATGCGGGGGCATTTTTTTCAAATACGCCGCACTTTTGCCGTATAAATTGCCGATTTCCACGCAAAATATGCGGGGCTTGTATGATTTAATAATCCCCGCATTTTTGTTGCAAAAAAAAGTCACATATATCTTAGCAGAAAGTTGAAAAATGTTGCGTTTGCTTCACACGAGAGCAGCCGTTTCCCCCGGTTGCCATGGGAACATTATGAAGTGACGTAATTACTCGACATGAACATCATTGAAAAAAAAAAATGGAAAAAAAAGCTGTAAAACAGGAAACATTTTTTTCATATTTTAAGGTCTGAAATAAAACAAGATTAAATATTCCAGCACTTTCTGTGATGTAGTATGTTTGCTTATCATAGGAAGTAATAAGAAATAGCTCTTTAGTAGCCTAGTGAGAACAGGGTGTTGGGGAATCACTTTTTCTCTCTTTTTCATCAAACCGCAGTCTTTGCAAGTTCCCCCAATTTCATCACATAAAATTGCAAATATCCTGCATATTCCATCGCCGCATAATCAAGGATTTTTGCCCGCAACAATCACAAAAAAACTCTGCATTTTTCTGGAAGGACTGACCTTTGGGTCACATCACCACACCATTTTGTCCCCCCCACTTTTATAATGGCTGCTACGCCCCTGGCCACAACACGCACAACCTTGAGGCGGATGGGCTACAACAGCAGAAGACCCCGCCGGGTACCACTCATCTCCACTACAAATAGGAAAAAGAGGCTACAATTTGCAGGAGCTCACCAAAATTGGACAGTTGAAGACTGGAAAAATGTTGCCTGGTCTGATGAGTTTCGATTTCTGTTGAGACATTCAGATGTTAGAGTCAGAATTTGGCGTAAACAGAATGAGAACATGGATCCATCATGCCTTGTTACCACTGTGCAGGCTGGTGGTGGTGGTGTAATGGTGTGGGGGATGTTTTCTGGGCACACTTTAGGCCCCTTAGTGCCAATTGGGCATGGTTTAAATGCCACGGCCTACCTGAGCATTGTTTCTGACCATGTCCATCCCTTTATGGCCACCATGTACCCATCCTCTGATGGCTACTTCCAGCAGGATAACGCACCATGTCACAAAGCTCGAATCATTTCAAATTGGTTTCTTGAACATGACAATGAGTTCACTGTACTAAAATGGCCCCCACAGTCACCAGATCTCAACCCAATAGAGCATCTTTGGGATGTGGTGGAATGGGAGCTTCGTGTCCTGGATGTGCATCCCACAAATATATTTGTGTGCGTTGTGTACGTCCCCCCAAGTGGGAACGCTAGCATGGCAGCTAAGGCAATTACAGACTGCGTCCATCGCCATCTACAGAACAAACCTGACGCTCCCATGCTGATACTTGGCGATTTTAACCACTGTAGCCTGGATAAAACTTTACCTGGATTTCATCAATATGTGAAATGTAACACTAGAAACAACAGTATACTTGATAAATGCTATGGCAATATCAAGGATGCCTATACAGCTAGACCCAGACCCCCTTTGAATAATTCTGATCACAGTTTTTAAGTCCAGTAAACCGGAAATCCAGTCTGTGAAAGTATGGTCTAGTGATAAAACAGAGGAGCTGAAGGGGTGCTTCCTCTGCACAGACTGGAATCTCTTTTTTAAGGATGCAGACATTGATAGTGCTACTGAATCAATCACCACATACATTTCTTTCTGTATTGACTCTGTTATACCCCAGAAAACAGTTAAACGGTATCCTAATAACAAACCCTATATCACAAAGGGCATTAAGGAATGTATTAACAGGAAGAAACTAGCTTTCAGAACTGGGAACAAAGCAGAAGTCCGAGATTAAAAAGACCCTAATCTGCAAATAAAAGCAGCTCGGGAGCAGTACAAGAAGCGGGCAGAAAAAGAGCTGTCAGACTCAAACACAAAGACACTTTGGGACTCTATCAGAAAAATGACTAATATGGTCATTAAAAATAAGCCCCTGTTTGCTCACAACGAAATTGCAAAGGCAAATGAATTGAATACTTTTCGCATGCGTTTTAATTCAGATAATATTAGGGAATGTGCTGCAGTTCTAGAGAATGTCTTTTGTAATGTTGATTTGGATAGAATTGTAATTGAAAAACACACTGTTATTAAGGTGTTTAAAAATATGCAGACAAGTAAAGCAACAGGCCCTGACAACCTGTCCGCTTTTCTTTTAAAAACTTTTGCAGAAGAACCGTCACCAGCCTGGCATAAAATATTTCAGCTTTCTATAGATACATGTACAGTACCACAACTCTGGAAAAAATCTATCATTATTGCAGTACCCAAAAAGGCATGCCCCCAGGAGAATAATGACTATCGGCCAGTGGCCATTACTTCTAATGTTTTTAAATCTTTAGAGAGGCTTATGATAGAGAAACTCCACACAGATGTGGAAATTTTTTTAGATAAATACCAATTCGCTTATACAAAAAAACGTAGTACAAGTGATGCTTTATCGACAATAACGCACTTAACCTTGAAGCACCTTGAAAGTCCTGTTGCATATGCTAGACTGCTTTTTGTTGATTAACTCAGTTAAATGTAAATCCTTTTTTAATTAGATGGTATCATTCCTTTTTGTCGAACAGGCCACAGCAGGTGAAGTTTAACTCCTCTCTGTCTGATCTAGCGGTGTGCAGCACTGGCGCCCCTCAAGGGTGTGTCAGCTCTCCTCTCCTGTTTACATTGTATACTAATGATTGTGTCAGCCATGAGCCAAACCAATATATAGTCAAATTCTCTGATGATACTGTCCTTCTTAGTTTGCTTAATAAAGAAAGCAACATGAATATCCACCAAGTTGCTGTGGACAAGTTTGTCAAGTGGTGTGATTCACATCAACTTCAGATTAACACACGAAAAACTGTGGAAATGTTGGTTGACCACAAATTAGTTGGAGATCAGAGCCCTGTGGTTATTCATGGTCATGATATCAGGCAGGTGACATCTTTTAACTACCTAGGGGTGTTTATTGATAATGACCTGAGTTGGCGCACACATGTTACAAATGTTTGTGCCAGAACCCATCAGCGCCTCTATTTTTTGCGTAGACTTAGAGTGTTTGGGGTCTGTAAAAATATGATGTTAATCTTTTATTGAGCAACAATAGAGTCCATTCTTCGATATGGTATTACCAGTTGGTTTGGAAATTTGACAGTCAAATCAAAAACTCAGATTTTTAATTTGGTCAAGACGGCAGGCAAAATTATGGGTACATCGCCACCCCTCAACCCGCAGGAGCTTTTTGACCAGACAACAATTAGGCAGGCTAAAAACATTATATCTGACGATACTCATGCGTTGTTTACAGAGTTTGAGTTACTGAACTCAGGAAAGAGGTACAGGGTTCCTCTGTGCAAATATAATAGGTATAAGCGCTCATTTGTTCCTCTCTCAATCAAGCTCATAAATGATCAGCGATGAATATATGACTATGAATTTATTAATGTATTGTATATCCATGATTAAATTGTTATGTATGATCATGTTAGGATAGTAATTTTGCATAAGTAGAGTTTAGAAAAAGGTCATTTGCAATTTGCACAGCTCTTGGGTAGCTTGAATATTCTATGTACTTTTTTGTTTTTTAATTGTTTTTAATTCTGTATAGCCGCATACTGTATATCTGTGATTGAAAGTTATGCATGGACATGATATGATATCACTTTTGCATAAGCAGAATTTAGGAATTGGTGATTTGCTATTTGCACAGCTCTCTGAGTAGCCTACATGTTTTATGTACTTTTTGTCATTAACTGTTTTAACCCTATACCTGTGCTTTGTCTTTGTTGAAATCTTCATGGGGCAATCTCTTTATCCAAAACTAATTTCTCCTTGGGGAGACAAATAAAGATACTTTGACTTTGACAAATCTCCATCAACTGCAAGATGCTATCCTATCAATATGGGCCAACATTTCTAAAGAATGCTTTCAGCACCTTGTTGAATCAATGCCACGTAGAATTAAGGCAGTTCTGAAGGCGAAAGGGGTCAAACACAGTATTAGTATGGTGTTCCTAATAATCCTTTAGGTGAGTGTATACTAGTACTTCATTTCTTTGTTGCAGACCTAAAATGATGGTTTAATGGCATTATGGGCTGCTATCACATGGGAAATGTGTGAAATGTAAGGCTTAACTTATGCTGAACCATGATTTTCAAGACCTTTGTACTGAAAAACAAATTCAAGAGTGGTTTAACATAAACAGTCATAAACACCTGCGGCTCCACAATCATTAAACATTTTACGAGAGTTGAAATTTGACAAAAGTTTCATGGGTCAGCTAGACTATTACAGAAACTAGAGCAGAAGTGACAACGTGTCTTTAGTTGTTTCTTGAAGGTTGTGATGGTCTCAGGAAATCAGGTTGAAAGCTTGTTCTACCACAGAGGAACTGAGAGAGTGACGGAGATTTTGTACCTTTGTATCCATTGAGACTTTTTCGATTAGTTCAATTGTAGGGGTGTAACGATACCCTCATATCACGATACGATATTATTGCGAAAATAATCCAAGACATAAGGTAAAAGGTTAACAAAAAAATGAACTGTTGATTAAAATGCTAAATTTGGTTATACATTGTGTGTGTAAATGAATAGTCTTGGACTTGGCGCAGGAAACCCAATGCACAGGACAATAGAGACACCAGAATAACAATATTCATGATTCTGAAGCTGGAAAAAACTAATTATTTTAGACGAATATGCTTGCACTCTGAATAAATATATCAAAAATAATTAGGGGTGTAACAATATATCATGCCACAATACACTCACCGGCCACTTTATTAGGTACACCTGGCCAACTGCTCGTTAACACTTAATTTCTAAGCAGCCAATCACATGGCGGCAACTCAGTGCATTTAGGCATGTAGACATGGTCAAGACAATCTCCTGCAGTTCAAACCGAGCATCAGTATGGGGAAGAAAGGTGATTTGAGTGACTTTGAACGTGACATGATTGTTGGTGCCAGAAGGGCTGGTCTGAGTATTTCAGAAACTGCTAATCTACTGGGATTTTCACGCACAACCATCTCTAGGGTTTACAGAGAATGGTCCGAAAAAGAAAAAACATCCAGTGAGCGGCAGTTCTGTGGGCGGAAATGCCTTGTTGATGCCAGAGGTCAGAGGAGAATGGCCAGACTGGTTCGAGCTGATAGAAGGGCAACAGTGACTGAAATAACCACTCGTTACAACCGAGGTATGCAGCAAAGCATTTGTGAAGCCACAACACGCACAACCTTGAGGCGGATGGGCTACAACAGCAGAAGACTCCACCGGGTACCACTCATCTCCACTACAAATAGGAAAAAGAGGCTACAATTTGCAAGAGCTCACCAAAATTGAACAGTTGAAGACTGGAAAAATGTTGCCTGGTCTGATGAGTCTCGATTTCTGTTGAGACATTCAGATGTTAGAGTCAGAATTTGGCGTAAACAGAATGAGAACATGGAACCATCATGCCTTGTTACCACTGTGCAGGCTGGTGGTGGTGGTGTAATGGTGTGGGGGATGTTTTCCTGGCACACTTTAGGCCCCTTAGTGCCAATTGGGCATCGTTTAAATGCCACGGCCTACCTGAGCATTGTTTCTGACCATGTCCATCCCTTTATGGCCACCATGTACCCATCCTCTGATGGCTACTTCCACCATGTCACAAAGCTCTAATCATTTCAAATTGGTTTCTTGAACATGACAATGAGTTCACTGTACTAAAATGGCCTCCACAGTCACCAGATCTCAACCCAATAGAGCATCTTTGGGATGTGGTGGAACGGGAGATTCGCATCATGGATGTGCAGCCGACAAATCTGCGGCAACTGTGTGATGCCATCATGTCAATATGGACCAAACTCCCTGAGGAATGCTTCCAGCACCTTGTTGAATCTATGCCACGAAGAATTGAGGCAGTTCTGAAGGCAAAAGGGGGTCCAACCCGTTACTAGCATGGGGTACCTAATAAAGTGGCCGGTGAGTGTATATCGCAATACAAAAATGCAACAATATGTATCGTGGATAGTTCCCCCAAATGAAAAATTGCTGTGTGAGAAAAAAATTAAAGTACTACGTTTTAGTCAGTACTACATTAAACTACTATACATAATGTTGATTATAATGTATAATAAAGCAATGGGGGAATATTTGTGTGTCAGGATAATGCCAAATGTCTTGTTACCAGTAAAAAGTGTCCTGCATTATTTTAAATATATCTAGTCAGTGACCGAGTAAAGCATATTCGTCTAAAAATTATTCTGTGTTTTCAGCTTCAGAATCATGAATATTGTTATTCTGGTGTGTCTATTGTCCTTGGGTTACAAGCACTTAGTCCAAACCTATTCATTTAAACCCACAATGTAATATCAAAGTTAGCATTTTAATCAACAGTACATTTTTTGTTAACCTTTTATCATGTCTTGGAGTATCGCAATAATATCGTATCGTGAGTAGTTCAGTATCGTGATATGTATCGAATCGTGACATGAGGGTCTCGTTACACCCCTAAAAATAATACTTTTTACTGCTAACATAAGACGTTTGGCATTATCAGGACCCACACATGTTCCCTCATTGCATTATTATACATTATATATAATAGTTTAATGTAGTACTGACACTAAAACTCTGTAAACTTGAATTTTTTCTCACAGTAATTTTCATTTTGGGTGAACTATACACAATTGTCACTATCCACGATACATATTGCTGTATTTTTGTATTGTTTTGCATTTTGATGTTACACCACTATTCAATTGTAACCAACCCAACCCCTCTGTGTTTGTATCTACTGTAGTTATGAATGCAGTAACCCCATTTATGGGCAAACCTTGAACCCCTGCAACTTCCAGAAGACGCCTGGCGGTTCATCTGGAGGAGAGGGAGCTCTGATTGGAGGAGGCGGATCTATCCTGGGCATTGGCACTGACATTGGAGGGAGCGTTCGTATTCCATCAGCCTTCTGTGGGATTTGTGGATTTAAGCCCACATCGAAGAGGCTAAGGTTCGTACAAATAAGTGTTTTATAAAATGCCTTGTGCCACCTCAAGGTAAATTAATGTATGTTGAGATTTTGCTATGTTTAAACAGTAACAGGGTTGATGTTTCATGATGTTGAGCCATTACTAACCTTGTGCTCAAGGTCATCATGACACTACAAGGTGTTTATTAGAAGTATTATTTAATGCCCATATTGCCATACTGTTTACTATAGAAAGTCGAGGTAACAGAGTTGATCATTTAAGAGACGAATCTAACAACATTTGAAAAAACACGTAAACACATTTACAGCTTACAGGTGTCACTTTAAAGTGATGATGATGTTATCATTTTTTGTGTGTAGGTTATGATTATGGTTAAGAGCACATAGTATCATAATCAAGAGTATGATTATGGTCATTAAGGAATAGTTATAATGGCAACAGGGTGGATGCATATTGCATAACATAGGAAAAAAACTTCAAGTATTTTGAATAATGCATTATATCTATTAATATCTAAAAAAATTTTTAAAAAAGATAGAAAAAATACTAGACTTTGCTTGCATAATCTTTTTTCATAATTAAAATGAGCGTATGTACTAATATAAAAAGGGGAATTTGGTAACATAGGGTTAAATGCTTATAATAACATACTGTATTTGTAAATAAAAACGTTTATACGTTAAAAGGGACACAAAAGTCACAGTAAATGTGCTCAATTTCTGTAAACATTGTCATGATGCATGAACATTTCTTTAATCATAATAGAATTTGATTTGATTTTAGATTGACATGTTTTGTGAGATTCACCTGTAGCTCTATTGTTGAGATGTTGTGCATATAATCTACTTGTTTTTTCTTGTTCTTTGATTTGCTTTATTTTTTTATCAACCTTGTTTAGTGGACAAGGAATCGGTTCTTGTGTCAAAGGCCAGAAGTCAGGTAAGACAGGTTTATCACGTCTAGTTTTGAACTGTAAACGAACTGAAATATAAGACGACATCTATGTGCTGGATTACAGTGTTGTCCTCTCTTGGCCCGTTGGCAAGAGACGTCGAGAGCGTGGCTCTGTGTTTGCGGGCTCTACTTTGCCAAGATATGTTCACATTGGATCCCACTGTTCCTCCCATACCATTCAACCAAAAGGTCCTGTATGAATATAGCACATCAAATGTTTCTTTATAGGTCAATTATAGGTGAAAGCAGAATCCATGATACTTTCCTCTTATGAAACAGGTGTATGAGAGCTCAGAGCCCCTGAGGATTGGTTATTATGAGAACAATGGTTTGCAGCAGCCGTCTCCAAGCATGGCCAGGGCCTTCAGGGAGACTAAAGCCCTGCTGGAGAGAGCGGGGCACACGGTACACAACTACACTACACTACATTAAAGGGTTAGTTCACCCAAAAATGTCAGTAATGACTCTCCCTCATGTTGTTCAACCCCGTAAGACTTTCGTTCATCTTCGGAACACAAATGAAGATATTTGTGATTAAATCTGAGAGCTGATCACTCCTCCATAGGCTTCTTAAGGGATCGAAACTGGCCGGCCCAAAAGTTATGAAAGACATCGTTAAAATAGTCCGAGTGACTACAGCGGCTCAACCTTAAGTTTATCAAGCGACGAGAATACTTTTTGTGCGCAAAAAAACAAACAAAAATAACGACTTTATTCAACTATTCATTTCCTTCTCTGTGGGCCTCGAGTGAGTTCACGTGGTGATATTGCGCACAGCTTCTGGGTTTTATGTCACACGCAGGCTCACTATTGGCCGACGCTGGTCATGTGTGTGATACGTGTGACGTGCAACACAGAAGCTTTGCGCAATATCACTGCGTGAACTCACTCAGCTCACCATTTATTTAGACTTTTCAAAGAAATCCAAATGAGCAAATCAATAAAAATAAAAAAAACTTCTCAAAAAAAGATTTGTATGCAGGCACACACAGACATCAATTTTTAGCATATGAATCTCAACAATGGTGACAAACAGATCACCTCTGAACATAAGCTCATTATTTATTCAGTGCAATGCAATGCAATGCATGATGGGCGCCATGAATGAGTTTTGATTGGTGGCACCCAGAATGCACTGCAACTGCAATCACTGATCTATATAATGACTGGATAGCTCATGACGTTCTAAACTGCCACCAGGCAGTGAAGCCACCGGAAGTGTTCGAGCGGCCATCTTACGATTCCCTACCAGCAGAGGGCTCCAACGGCCGTTATACAGAGATAGGTAGCTCCGACGGCACTTTTAAGATGACCTTAAAAGGATCTTGAAAAACTGCTCACAGGTTGTACTTTAAGCCCATATATAGTCATTTATATGCACAATTGTCGCTATTTCCGTGTTGTTTAAAAAAAATGTATAGCCTACTATGCATTCTTTCACAGACGTATTCAAGTTTAAACCCAATAAACGTATTATTCAATGCATTACTTCTTATAAATTTAATTAAATGCATATATTTAATATTTTCATGTCAATCCGTGTTCAGTTTGACCACGAACCATGCGCTGTCACTTTAATTCAGCGCCTGCAGCACAAACGATCTCTGCACGCACCGCATCCGCGTGCAGTGAAAGCTCCAACCTGTTGACATGGGTATGGTAAAAAATATGCACTGCAAACGGAGTAGGCCTATGTGTAAACCCCTTATTTACACTGCACACATCTGCGGCGCATTATGGCTCCGACAATGTTTTATTCCTACCTTCACGCGGTGTCAACTCACACCGGGAGCATTTCCACGTGATTTGCCGATTTGTGGGCGCGATCAGCTCCGGTAGCCGTGTCGCAGCTGTAAACGCGCCGCAGATGTGTGCAGTGTAAATAAGGGGTAAATAAGAGGTGAAACAGGTGTACATTAACCCATACAATTTGTATTAGGCATTTCCTGGACATGTTCTTGCTAACTAATCAAATACTTGAACAGACTACTGATCTATCTGTAAAACACAATCAGAAAGAGCTAAATTTTAAGTTCACAATTCACATATACTTAATTTTTAGTAAGCAGGAATAATTTCCGACTTTAAACAAATACCCATTTAAATGCTTAGGATGTTTGCGTTGTAAAACTGCTCAGGGAGACTTTAGATTTAAAGACGGTGTCTCGTTATGCAATGTTTTCTCAGTCAAATCATACAATTTCCTATTGATTCAATAGAACGCGTGAGCTCACTAGGGAATCACAATATGGCGGCGCGGTGGCTTCACTGTTTATGACGTCATGAGCTATCCAGTCATTCTATATAGATCAGTGACTGCAACATGCTTTATAATTGTCACCATTGTTGAGATTCACAGTCTGATTCTTGATGTCTGTGTGTGCCTACATAAAATATTTTTTATTTAGAAGTTTCTTTTTGTTTCTCTTTTTTTTTTGTGATATAATGATTATGTTAAACACAACCAACATCATCAGATCACCTTTTCTATTTGATCAGATCATCTGGCTGTTATAACTCATGTACAGAAGCCAAACGTAATCTAAAGTTAATAATGTGGGGGTCAAGAGCCCAACTAAAACACACACTCATCTCCATAATTCCGGTTTTCTTCTTCAGTGATTCTGCTTGTTAACATCATGTGTCTTCAGTGATGCTCAATCATCACTCAATTATTCACTTAATCATCTCATTAACTTTAACACTGCCTCAGTGTACATTTAACACTCAGCTCAGAGTTTAATTGGATCGCTTAAAATGACTTCCATGATGTTGAAGTTACATGAACAAATTATGTTTGTTTAACGTAACCCTGTTATGTGGAACCTGTGGAACCTGTTTACATAACAAAGTTAAATAAAGCCAACACATAATTTTTTTTAGTGTGTCACTCAAGTGGCCACGCCCTTAATTATGCAGAACTTTAAAGGTGCCCTAGAATGTGAAATTGAATTTATTTTGGCATAGTTAAATAACAAGAGTTCAGTACATGGACATGACATACAGTGAGTCTCAAACACCATTGTTTTCTCCTTCTTACTTAAATCTCGTTTTTGAAAAACACCCCTGAAAAACAGGCGAATCTCCACATAACACCGACTGTGACGCAACAGTCGGGATCATTAATATGTACGGATCCAAAAATGTGCAAATTTGCAGTTGCTCAGTGTTTGGATGTACACATGAACACAAAAATATGAAAGCATTAGAGAGAGTGCAGAAACTGCGTTGCATTAAGATCTTCATTCTCTGCTGCTCAATGCTCATCACGGCAACATTGTATGTGATGGGAATAGATCTAAATACGTTAAAAACATCTCACGATTCGTTAATCTCGATAGCTGTAATAAAAACGTATAATAGCTGTAGTAAAATTATTCGAGAGAGTTTCACATGTAGTACATGGCTATTTCATATGCAAACATGTCAGCCAATCACAGCAGAGACCGGTTACACACAGCTGACATGCCCCTTCAAACAGAGCATTCAAACCAGAGCCTAAAATCAGGCTAGGAAAAGTGCCTTTTATTTCTAAATTATGACTATTTTTGATACTAACTAACATTATAAGGGCAACCCAGGAAACATTATAAAATAAAATAAAATAAAATAAAAACATTCTAGGGCACCTTTAAGGCTTAATATAATTTAGACTTGAAAAGCAGGTCTGATGTTCTGGTCTGGTGTGTTGTTCACATTTCAGCTTGTTCCTTTCCCACCTCTACGGCTCTACGAAGTCTTCCATGAGTTTGCTTATAAAGGGGTCATGGCTGATGGAGGCGGGACCTTCTACAGTCATCTGTACGTCTGGTATCAGCACATTCACACGTCATGATTGATATCCATTAGAACTATTCCAGTGTTTCTGGCCTCATTAAAGACGCTGTAGTCACCTCTGATTCATAGTAATCACACATTATGTATGTCAATATGTGTGTGATTTCAGGAAGTCCGGCCCCATTGACCCGTCTGTCCGGGATCAGGCCGCCATGTTGAGCGTCCCAGGCTTCATAAAGAAGATACTCTCTGTTGTTCTGAAGCCTGTTGTGAGTTCTGTAAATGTTGTTTCGCATCTAATTAAGCAATCTGTCATATTCAAGCTGATATGTTTTTATGTTTGGATTACTTTCTCCAGTGTCTGCGTTTGTCTGCAAGCCTGAAAGCAACTGCTGGAGTTGGGTAAGCTACAGACATTTTTTGTTTATATTAATTTGCATAATTCATATAATTATGCTGATAAATCTTGTGTTCTTGAGTGTAATTTAAGATACGATTGTTTTTATTTTTTTAAATTTACAAATTAAAGTTTTGAGAGATATTTAGAAATACACTGAACACTAAATGCGGGTCAGTAATGCTGGGTACACACCTAAAGATAATCGGGCTGATTTTGGGCAGATTTTCCCCCTTCCGACAATCCTAGGTATGTCCCGATTATCTTGATGGTTCTACAGATTATCTTATCAGATTCTCCCTTGATGTGAGGTGTGTTAAGAGTGTCCGAACCTGCTCGGAAGAACATCGGAGCCGCTCCGATCGCGAATCGTAAATATTCAACATGTACATATTCAACATGTTGAATATTTACGATCAGAAATCCTGATGTGTGGGGGGAACCCCGAGGACAAACGCGCGCACGTTCTGGAGATTATCACGTGAAACGAAACAATATCCAATCAGAAAGCGAGATGATGGAAGACGGAAGCATAACAAACGCAGTCATGGCGCAGCACAGACTGAAATTAATGTGGACATTATTGTGAAGTCTCGCGAGATTTTGCGAGATTTCGTGTGTTCACAGTCGAGACTCTGGTTGAAAATCTGTTCGTGTGTGGTGTGCTGTCTTTGTCACATCATGGCACACCACACACTATAGGAGCAAAACGGTTCAATCTAGGATTTTTTCTCCTCATGTTTGTGGTCTATCACATTTTGAAAATCTTATAAGATGTACCCAGCATAAGATTTATTGGAATCAAATTAATACTTATATTCAGCAAGGATAAAGTGGCAGTAAAGACCTCTACATTATTACAAACTGTGAATGTTTGACCTTTCTATGCATTAAAGAATCCTGACATGTATCATGATTTCTACAATAATCTGAAGCAACTGTTTTCAACATTGATAATAATCATAAATATTTCTTGAGCAGCAAATCATCATATTAGAGTGATTTCTGAAGGATCATGTGACACTGAAGACTGGAGTAATGATGCTGGAAATTCAGCTTTGATCACAGGAATAAATTACATTTTAAAATATATTCACGTAGAAAACAGTCATTGTAATAATATTTTACAATAGAACTTAGCAGAATTGAAATGATACCATTCCTTTAATCGCTTTTTTTCTTTTTTCTTTTGCAAGGTCTGTAGCAGAATTGTGGAGACAGCACGTAAATATTGAGGTAGAATTTTATTTTTTCGATTTTATTATTAATATTAAGTGGTGATTGTATGTATTTTGAGGGTGTGTGAAAGGTTTTTCGGTTTTCTCATCGGTAGGAATACATCGATGAGGTGATAGCGGAGTGGAGGAGACTGAATGTGGACGTTTTGTTGTGCCCTATGATTGGACCAGCCTACAATTTCCATTACGCCGGCCATCTCACTAGTACTTACCTCACATTTACATTACTATTACATTATCTTTGTGCCTGTAAACCTGGGGTCGGCAACCTTCATTTGTCTTGTTAATCACTGTGCCACATCCCACGTCTCATTGCTTTTAGCTTTCAATTCCCTTATTATTACTAGTTAATTTAATTGTGACTAGCAATTCCTTCCTGTTTCATGATTTACTTAAAGTCAGCCTGAAACAAGTTTTGATAGACTTTTCTTCCCTATTGTGTCGTATACCCGAGTGAAACGGCTTCTGGAACAAGAACAAATAGGACGGGGCTTGATTTTGTCCGTGAGGAATCGATTGGATGGTTGTGGTTTGCTATTGGTTGATCTCATGTGAGTGACAGGTTATAGCCCCGCCCTCGTCATCAGAGAAGAGATGCTGCAAGTGGAAGGGAATGTTATTTTAGCGAGAGTCCCCCTGTAGTCAATAATTGTATCTCTTAAAACTCATCTTTGATCACCAAAATTACATATTTAAACATTTTTTTCAATAAATGCCTTAAAGTACCGGTAGCTTGAATGTAACTCGACACTCTTGCCTCAGTTTGTATACATTGTTCTATGAATATGCAAATGAGCCCCGCCTCCAGAGATCCACTGGTTGACGATCACACGTTGATCTGATTGGTCACAAGTAGGGCTGTGTATTGGCAAGAATCTGGCGATACGATACGTATCGCGATACATGGGTCACGATTCAATATATTGCGATATATTTCGATACTGTGCATAAGGCGATATATTGCGATTTTTTTAAAGTAGGACTACAATTTTAGAAAGTATTATTTAAAAAAAAAGACATGATGTGCATAAAATTCAAACAAGTTTACTTTAGATAAACAATTCAGTACACAGAAAATCAAACTGCCAGTTTGGGATTGTGGTTCACAGGTTCTTAGTGAGCAAATTTGTATATGCTCAAGTAGGCCTTAATAAAAGAAAATACATAGCCCCTGTCACAATACATAACATACACACATGTGTGCAATCTGAAAAAAGAAAAGACATCTGTCTATGTCAATAAAAATAAATAAATGCTTGCACTATTCCTAGTACACAGGGTACATCCAACACGTTTTGTGTTGCAAAAACACGAACACAATTCAAGTCAAGTCAAGTATATTTATATAGCGCTTTTCACAATTGTATCAAAGCTTCACAGTATAAATCAAAATAACATAACAATGTTTGTTTCTTAGTGGAAAAAACATCCACGTTAGGTAGGGCTGATCAATGGTATTAATGATTGGTTAATTAATTTGAATATCCCCAATTCCTAAAGGAAACATTGAGGAACAAATATATAAATAGTCAGTTAAAGAAAATACATAGCCCCTTACTGTGACATCTAGGCTAATGCATAACACATAAGGTGCAATCTGAGGGGCAATCTGTCATTAAAAAAATGCTTGCACTATTATTTATACAGGGTACATCCAACACATACCGTAAAACTTCAAATAATAGCGAGTCCCATATAGACGCCGGTCTCTTTTACACGCCTGATGTGGCGAGTGGCGACAGGTTTGGGTAAATAAAGGCCAGTCTCAAATAGAGGAGGGGTCTGTTTTTTAGTTTCGGGTTGTATTTAATCTTTTAAAACCCGTCAAATCGTCCGCTTTTTAGCGGCTGCCAAAACAAATTTGTGTCCCGCCAAAGCCTTTTTTTATCGGTGAGTGATGTAGAATAGAAAGACTGCTGCGCTTGACAGGACGCAAACGAGCAGAGAGAGAGAGAGAGAGAGAGAGAGAGAGAGAGAGAGAGAGAGAGAGAGAGAGAGAGAGAGAGAGAGACAGAGAGAGAGCGCCCCGGCCGCGCGCGCGCACTCTCACGTCTTCAAACAACACGCGCGCTGTCTTGCTCTCTCTCCCTCGCGCATATTAATCAAAATCATAGACACTGTAGGCGAGGACACTAGTGGTGCGTCTCATTCTAGCCATCTAGTGGTAGGGATTTAAACACAACATAAACGCGAACCACGGCAATAGTATGAATATTTTTGCACGTAAACTAAAAAAAAAATCGATATTGCGTTTTTGAAAATCGATACAGTATTGCAAAATAAAATATCGCGATACTCAAGTGTATCGATTTTTTCTTACACCCCTAGTCACAAGGTCGTTTGTGACGTCAGAAACACCAGCGATTTCAAACCGTGTTTTTGAGACTGTCTTTGGTTCACTGCAGTTTTAAGCAGAAAATACTCAGCAATGCTGTCGACTTATGAACTTACACATGGTTTGTCTTAAAGCACATTAAAAACACCACATAGACATATCCGGTTGTTAAGTCGTGACGTAACCACTCTCCGATAATACTGTTTCCGGGTCCAAAGGCCGGGTCCTCTCTACCTACCTACCGCTTTCGCCCGAGTTTTAACGTGTTCCCGTGTTGTTTAAATAGATCGGAGTTAAAAAACAAGTGACATTCAACTGTCATTCTACCGCTTTCCCTGTGACGAGAAAGATAAGAGAAAATGGCTGCAGTTGATAAGGTAAGTTACAAATCTTAAACGAATGAAGAAACTTTGGCGCCAGTGGGTGCTATCCCTTAATCCCTAGTAACACCCACTGGCACTGAAGCGAAAAAAGACCTTAAGAAAAGGGTTTATTTAGTCTAGGATCTGGAGTGGACGAGCGGAGCGCTTGGGCCCGGAAGAGGCTAAACGTCACGCGTGACGTCAGACTTAACAACCGAATAATATAAACAACATTAAAAGCTGGATTTTCACCACAAGGGGTCTAATTATGTGCAAAGCAACATAACAATAAATACTGCAATGTCTGTTAGATATTATGCAGTAGGTGTGTGCGGTTTAACGTTACTTATTAACTCGACAGTCATGATTTCAGCATTACATACGGCCTTCATCAGTCACCTAGGCCTCGTTTACACTGTCAGTGAAATGTGACCCAATTCCGATTTTTTACTCGTATGCGACACAGATCGGATGTGTTCTATGACAGTGTAAACAGGAAAAAAACGCATGCATTCGGATATTTCGAGATCGGTTTCAGGCCTCGTTCATATGTGGAAATAAATCAGATGTAAATCGGATATGTGCCAATGCGACTGTCATGTAAACAGGCAGATCGGATTTTCCGAGGCATTAGGCTGCGTCTTTAATGACGAGAGAAACCCCGACGCGCATCTGCGGATGGACGGATGGCCCGATGAAACATTGTGTCGTCGTAGGAGAGGAATGTGGACACACGTTGACACAACATATCAAAGGTTGGCTTGCTCATCCTAAAATTTCGGACCCACTGCTCCTCGTTAAAGCCCGCCACGATCTCATGAAAGTGCGTTTATTGCACGATTTTTTTTTCACGTGGCATTTACGCCAAAAATATAGCTTTATGGCGTTTAATATGCACGTTTACAGTGCGTATCATATGCAAGCAAAAACTATTTTTGGCGTAGGCTATAAATGGCATGAGAAATAAAATTGGTGCTATAGATAGGCTACTCACTTTTATGAGATCATGTTGTATGTTCCCACCTGTCCTGAGATCTCGCTGCGCGTTCGTCCATCTGAGCAAGAAGACCCCTTTAAACATGCGCGATGTTTCAGTCAAGTGTAAACACATGACTCGGATATGGGTCACAATTTAAAGAACGTGTAAACGGACGGTAAAAAAAATCGGATATAGGCAACAAATCAGAATTGGGCATCAAGACCTGCAGTGTAAACGAGGCCCTAGATGCAGTAATTCTTCTCCACTCCTGAAGGTCCTCTCAGCTACACATCTCTGTACAACCTGCTGAACTTCCCAGCCGGGACCGTGACCGTGTCTACAGTGACGGAAGAGGACGAGGCACAGCTCAGTCAGTATAAGGGTGTCTATGGGGACATGTGGGACAAACTCTTCGTTAAGGTATGTTTACACAGTGCAAGACCTCTGAAGTTAAAGGTATTGTAGGTAGAATTTTTTTTTAAAACTTTTTGCCAAATTTGTTTAAACTTTCTATATATATCAATGCATAATTTAAATGTAAGTACTCTGGAAAAGAGAGTATAAAAATCGAGTGTCTGTAGTCCTCTCAGGGCTGTAATAAACACAGCTACTTATCTCCATTCACTTCCACCCCCTCCATTCTGGGCTCCTTCCAAAACCACGCCCCCAAAACACATGAACGCGCGATGCCGACAGCTCACAGCTGGAGGACGCGCTTACCAGCGCCGAGCGGAGAGGAGCAGTGCATGTAGTGACATCATGTCAGACTCACATGTAATAAAATACCTAACTTTATCATTATGAATATAAACAACTAACATGGCTGTTAATACTCACTATCAAGCTAGCATATCGATACTGTTAAAGTTTAAAATATATTGAGTTTGATTCGTTAACGAGCTAGTAACATAAGGCAAAGCTAAAAACAGGTTGCATTGATACACGTTTTGCCATTACAATAAGTTACACTGTGATGAAGGTGAATTTTGTGTAAGATTCATAACATATACGCCGTGTTTTGCATGTAATTGTGTCTCTTACTAGTCTCTTACCCTCCTCGAGTCAAACGAGTGCGCGCATGTGGGCAGCGCATGTAGCAGCGGGGGTGTTGCCATGGTTGCGAGAGAGTGACAGTCGCCTAAGCCAATCCTTTGTTTCGTCCCGGAAGGAAATAATGAGCTGTGTTTAGTGCAGATTAAACGGTCTAGAGTCACTCGATTTTTATACTCTTTTTATCAGAGTACTTACATTTTAATTATGCATTGATATATATAGAAAGTTTAAACAAATTTGGGAAAAAGTTTTTTAGACCAAAAACGACCTACCCAACCTTTAAGTTGCATGAAATCCATAGGATGTTTTTGTCAACCTTAAAGGGTTAGTTCACCCAAAAATGAAAACTCTGTCATTAATGACTCTCCCTCGTGTCGCTCCAAGCCCGTCAGACCTCCGTTCATCTTCGGGACACAGTTTAAGATATTTTAGATTTAGTCCGAGAGCTTTCTGTCCCTCCATTGTAAATGTGTGTACGGTATACTGTCCTTGTCCAGAAAGGAAATAAAGACATCATCAAAGTAGTCCATGTGACATCAGTGGGTTAGTTAGAGTGTGTTGAAGCATCGAAAATACATTTTGCTCCAAAAATAACAAAAACTAGGACTTTATTCAGCATTGTATTATCTTCCGGTTCTGTTGTGTGTGTGTGTGTTCTGGTTCTGTTGTGGATCCGCGTTCAGTGCCGCCGCTGACGTAAGACGCTGCTGACGTGTGTCTGGTGTGTGTGTGTGTGTTCTGGTTCTGTTGTGGATCCGCGTTCAGTGCCGCTGCTGACGTAAGACGCTGCTGACGAGTGTTTGGTGTGTGTGTGTGTGTGTGTGTGTGTTCTGGTTCTGTTGTGATTCCGCGTTCAGTGCCGCTGCTGACGTAAGACGCTGCTGACGTGTGTCTGGTGTGTGTGTGTGTGTGTGTCTGGTGTGTGTGTGTGTTCTGGTTCTGTTGTGGATCCGCGATCAGTGCCGCCGCTGACGTGTGTCTGGTGTGTGTGTGTGTTCTGGTTCTGTTGTGGATCCGCGATCAGTGCCGCTGCTGACGTGTGTCTGGTGTGTGTGTGTGTTCTGGTTCTGTTGTGTGTGTGTCTGGTGTGTGTGTGTGTGTGTGTTCTGGTTCTGTTGTGGATCCGCGTTCAGTGCCGCCGCTGACGTAAGACGCTGCTGACGTGTGTCTGGTGTGTGTGTGTGTGTGTTCTGGTTCTGTTGTGGATCCACGTTCAGTGCCGCTGCTGACGTGTGTCTGGTGTGTGTGTGTGTGTGTGACGTAAGCCGCTGCTGACGTGTGTCTGGTGTGTGTGTGTGTGTGTGACGTAAGACGCTGCTGACGTGTGTCTGGTGTGTGTGTGTGACGTAAGACGCTGCTGACGTGTGTCTGGTGCGCTCGAGCTTCGTCTACAGTCTGAGGGAGACGCACGCTGGAAACAAAACAATCTTCACAAACATGTCTAAGGATTTCCACACAGAGGAAGACTTGCATTTTTTTGCCCAGCCATATTTATTTGAACCCGAACACACACACACCAGACACACGTCAGCAGCGTCACTGAACGCGGATCCACAACAGAACCAGAACACACACACACACACACACCAGACACACGTCAGCAGCGTCTTACGTCAGCGGCGGCACTGAACGCGGATCCACAACAGAACCAGAACACACACACACACACACCAGACACACACACAACAGAACTGGAAGACAATACAATGCTGAATAAAGTCCTAGTTTTTGTTATTTTTGGAGCAAAATGTATTTTCGATGCTTCAACACACTCTAACTAACCCACTGATGTCACATGGACTACTTTGATGATGTCTTTATTTCCTTTCTGGACAAGGACAGTATACCGTACACACATTTACAATGGAGGGACAGAAAGCTCTCGGACTAAATCTAAAATATCTTAAACTGTGTCCCGAAGATGAACGGAGGTCTGACGGGCTTGGAGCGACACGAGGGAGAGTCATTAATGACAGAGTTTTCATTTTTGGGTGAACTAACCCTTTAAAGTGTTGTGATAAATTGAGTTGTATGTCTGACAACCACAAGGAGGCAGCATAGTCACGATTACAAAGATTGAATCACACCACTGGGATCATGTAGCAAAGTTTATAAAACACACATGTGATATATGTAAAGCTCTGCTTAACTCCAGTAACCAATAGTAAAGCCATATATGGGACTATTTGGACTGTGTATATTTTTAGGCCCTTTTATGGAGATTTTTTTTTTTTTTTTTTTTTTTTGTCTAATCATTTCATTACAAAAAATAATCCCATTTGTTTAAAACTATTACCCCCAGTATCCCAAATATATGTTGAGAGTGTTTTTTTCCTTACTAACTCCTATACACTCCATTATTTCAACCTTGTCACAGTATGTTTGGGATTCATTTAATTTGAATAAATAAATGGGATAACTCTGGTAGTTTTACTTTAGTTTTGGAATGCTTTGAAATAAATCACACATTATAACATGGTGGAAAAAATATGAATAATTAATTTTAAATGAATGATCAATGTAGAAACGACCTTAGTGAACAAATGTAATTGCACAGACTACATTGTTTATTGTCAACAATTTTGTATTTTGTGCCATGAAACATTTTTGTGAAATTTGTGTTCTGTGATTTAAAAAATATTTATATTGGGCTTGACAAGGCTATATTGTTTTTTCTTTATCATTTATTTAAAGATGTTTAAATCAAACCATTATTCTTAAAGGTGTATTATCACTTCATAACAGGATTCAACAGAAAGTGTAGAAACAAAGACAAATTGTGCTTTTTTTTTTTCATAACTGCATTTTATGAGAAAAAAAAAGCAATATTTAGGTAGATTTTGTTACTTTAATTGGCTGCTATTTTAATAAAAAACAAACCTAAAAAGGTATTTTTAGGATTTTTGCATTTGCATTGCATTACAAAGTCAAACCCATCGTATAATATGAGTAATATGTTGTGTGTGCGTGTGTGTGTGTGTGTGTACATGTATGTGCGCGTGTGTGTGTGTGTGTACATGTATGTGCGCGTGCGCGTGTGTGTGCGTGTGTGTGTGTACATGTATGTGCGCGTGTGTGTGTCTGTGTGTGTGCGTGTGCATGTGTGTGCACGTGTGTGTCTGTGTGTGTGCGCGCGTGTATGTGTGTGCGTGCGCGTGTTTTGTGTGCGTGTGCATGTGTGTGCATGTGCGCGCGCGTGTGTGTGTGTGTGCGTGCGTGTGTGTGTGCGTGTGTGTGTGTGTGTAACGCGCGTGTGTGTGTTGTGTGCGTGTGCATGTGTGTGTGTTTTCAGGCAGTGAAGGATGGCGTAGGTCTCCCTGTGGCAGTTCAGTGTGTATCTCTACCATGGCAGGATGAAATGTGTCTGCGCTTTATGAGAGAGGTGGAACAGCTCACAGCCAGAAACTAACGATGACTGAGATTCAGCTGCGTATGTTTCTGAGCTGCACGGTTCAGTCGAAGGGGAGTCATGAATCTGAACCACAGAATTAGATCATTGCTCATCAGGTGTTTTAGCTGATATGATGATGCTTAACTAACAACAAGACTGTAGTATTTACACCTGATTGTCCTTGAGATTGTGTGTTGAGTTAATGTGTATTTTTGATGTTTAAATCAGATTAACATGTAAAAATTACTAAAAGACATTCATAGGTTGATCTGTTTGTCCAACCAGTGGCAGACAGCGAGAAACTATTTGAAATCGGGTTTAATTCTTTGCAATAGCTTTTGGTGAAGATAGTGGCACTGAAATGACACACTTCACCTTTAATAAACAAATAACTTTCAATCATTCTTCACGGTTTAAATGAAGCGTGAATATTTGCAGTCGGTATAGAAGCAATGCAGCTTCATCAAGCCTGAATGAGGATTTAAATGCATCTCTTCATATCTGTATGTATCATTTTGTATAATGTAATGCCTTACAAATTGATTAAACTAAAATGAATCAGTACATCTCAGGTTCACTGAAAGCGTGTTGTCTGTCGGTGTGAGATGAGCGCTGCTCGTTTTTTTCGGTCCTGAATGATGACTTTGGTTGGAAAGGCTTGAACTGGACTTAATGACACATGACACCATCAGCTCCAGTGTAATGTAAATATTTGTCTGTTCTGGGTTTTGCACACATTTCACATTCTTCATTTGCATTAGTCATCAAGGATGGGAACTCATTATTTTGATTTCTCCTCGTTATATTGTTCTCTTTCCGGGTCCGCTGCTGAAATGAACCCTAACTCTAATTCTGGCCTGAATAAAGAAATGTTTTCAAAAAAACATTGATTTAATAATGTAACATAGAGACATACGCTACTTTTGGGATCAGTAAGGTAAAAAAAAAAAACTTTTATTCAGCAAAGATGCATTCAATTGATTAAAAGCGATTGTAAACTAAAGATGATTATAGTTACTAAAGTTATAAATATGCATATTTTCCTTACAAAAATGCATCGCTTAACTTCATTAGGCCTTTATTAACCCCCCAGAGTCGTATGATTACTTTTATGATGGATGGATGCGCTTTTTTTGGGCTTCAAAATCTCAGGTAAAGCTTAAAAGAGCCAGGAAATGTTTTAATATAACTCAAATTGTGTTTGGCTGAAAGAAGAAAGTCATATACAAAATATTTTATATGACAAAATATTTTTTATTGAGGGTGAGTAAATTATGGGATAATTTTTCATTTTTAGATGAACTATACCTTCAAATTGTGGTTCAAAATGAAGAATATTGGAATGAGTAATAATTGTAGTTATTGAAAACTGATCAGTATAATTTCTCCATTCTCAATATGTTTGTTCAATTTCAATCAAAATATCCAAGTATGTCCTATATTAATTTCTTTTCATGAAAATACCTGATGTAGGCCTAATTTAATTGTTGGATATTTGAGTGTTTATTTAGCCTACAAGTGAAATTCAGAGATTTTATCAGTTATTTATCATTGTGATATTCACAAATCCACTGCTTTTTTTTTTTAAGAGTACATTTTACTAGAAAGTCACAGTCAGGTTGATGGTGGTGAGGGTTTCTGAAGAGAAAATGCACTTTTAGATAACAAGCAGTGGAGAAAAGGAGAAACTGTAAGTGCAGATGTTTCAGTCATGTACAGTACAGAGACACCTCACTGAAACTTGAAAAGTAAGTATGTCTGGCCAGGGACTTACAGCTGGATTAGTGGATAACGATAACGATGACTGTAAAGATTTGTGCGATTCAACAGTTCAGTGATTCAGGTTTTGGCGGCTTTGTGGTTCTTATAGCACAAATGGGAAGCATCGCCTCTGGACAAGATACTCTTTTCTTCCAGCGCCGTTCTGCTTCTTTTCTTTCGCCATGTCTTTCTCTCTCTCTCTCTCTCTCTCTCCTCTCTCTCTCTCTCTCTCTCTCTCTCTCTCTCTCTCTCTCTCTCTCTCTCTCCATCTCTCCTCCTCTCTCCCTCTTCTCTTCTCTCTCTCTCTCTCCTCTCTCTCTCTCTCTCTCCTCTCTCTCTCATCTTCTCACTCTCTCTCTCTCTCTCTCATCTCTCTCTCTCTCTCTCTCTCTCTCTCTCTCTCTCTCTCATCTCTCTCTCTCTACGTCACACCACCCCCCACAGCGCTTCTGCTACGTTTGAGTTTTCCTTTCTTTCCTTCCGCGGTGAGCTCGCCCCGAAGCCTTATAGCCAAATTGGTTTACATTGGGGAGATAAATGCTCTGCAAATGCGCTTAAACACATACAGTAAAAATGCAGACAGTGCGTATCGGGATTACCGACCAAGTCATGAGGCGGAAAAGAGAGCCGCTGCTCGCAGTCTGTCTCATCCACTTTCAGGAAGAGGATTTGGCATATCCTTGCCTGTCAGTAATTCCTGGAATTATATAACGCCATGGCAAGAATAAAAGTCCGGCGGTATTGTGAAAGTATTGTTTTGCAGGGCTGGCAGAGTGAGTCGTCGGGCGGGTCAGATGGAAGGGGTAAAGACTGCAGAGTTTTCAAGTGAGGATCCTGTCGAGTGGAATTATGGGAAATCTGAGTTAAACCTTCTGAATTTCTGCTGAACGGCTTCTTCCGGTTTGTCTTAACTCTGAGAGCGTGCACGAGTTTGATGCTTCACTTCACTCCTATTATAGTGAATGCTTTCTAAAGTGGCCGAGTTCAGTTTTTCTGCTGGTCGAATCCGAATTACTGAATTCAGTTTAGCCATTATCTCTCTTTTTTCTGAATTTAAAGTTGCACTCTGTCAGATCAGGAGCCTAATATGGTTTATTTACATGGAATGGGTCTCCTCAAAACATATAGGGGCCAATTGCAAAGCAATACATTAATGATTGAGAGACGAACAAATAAAAGTTCCTCAAAAGCCTGTTGAAATATTTGATTAAAAAAGAATAATATATATATATATAACCAAGAAAAACTAAACTGCTTCAGTCCAGTAAGTGTTCATCTTGAAATAGGCTACTAATCTAAAATTTATTTTTGTAAACGTCATTAAAATCTGTAAAGATTTCACAGCAAAAAAAGATGTGTAGCCTACCATGACCTGAAGTGCAGATATTGCAGGTTATTACTAAACACCAGAAGAACACCAATGATAAAAGTAAAAAACCAGAAAGACCATGTGCAATTCTTGGGTGAGTGCATAAGAAAAAGGTTCTGGTGGGTGTTTTGGTCTAATTTGGTCACAATATTGACAGTAAATAAATTATGTTAGAATTCAGACCTGACCTAAAAATCCACCTTTTCTGTCGTTTTATTTAATTTATGGCATAATGCACACCTCATGTGATAAACTAAAATAGGCTACTGGCTAGTAAAATGTTCATGCACTGTGATATTTCACAAAAGCTGGAACATTAGGCATTTATATGATAAATAATTAGCCAAGACCTAAATGTTATAATTTAGTAAGAGTGTAGCACCTACAGCTCGGCAGATCCTTCTGTTGTTTGCATTTTGTAGCAGGAGAAAAATAGCCCATTTAATTCTAAGAGTCAGAGCGTGGAAGGATAATGATCATGTAAAAGGGGGAAACAATTTAAATACTTTAAAACTAACCCTTTAAAGCTCTACACCCACTGATATGGAGAACATTTAAACTTATCTTATAACTTTATGAATACTTCAAATAAATGCTTGTTCTTGCAAAGTCTCCAAGAGTGTTAAAATCAGACGCACCCCACTGATATTTCCTGACTCCTCTAGTTTAAGCACATCCAGCAAGGTTAGAACAAAACTCATACCATGCCATTGAAACAGCCCCTTTTCACACTCTTTTATGGTTCCTCTAAAGGTCTTAGCCGTGCAGCAAAGGAGAGCTGTCACTGGGGAACCTGAGCCCATTGATGAACTGACAGCCACTGCCAGAATATGATCCTAATCCTGTTCCCAGCATTCTTTAACCCACTGCCATCGCAGTACCGGCACATATTCAAGCAGCTGTCAACTCAGAAAATCCCTATAACAGAGCACAACCCTGATACACATCAAAGAGCTCGAGAGGACCTCAACAGCTTAACACACACACACACACACACACACACACACACAGATGAAAAACACCCAACCCAAAAACTGCACATTTTTACACAGCACACACTAAATATCGGTTGTAAAAGTGTCAAACAAAAGATTTTACATGTTGTATTTGTCATAAAATTAATGATGATCACTGAAGAGGTGGTTTTTGCTTCAGGACGTAGATTTAGTTACTAAATAAAATCGAATGTTGGCGTTTATTAATCCTGACCTGCATATACCCAAAAATGTGAAACTATTAACATGGCATAGACTGAATAAGAAAATTGACATTATAATTATGCACTTTTTTCAATGGTTTCAAGGCCAATAATTCAAGATGCTAACATGAACGTGAATTTTGTTCTGAAGAGTTTGTTTAGATACACACAGCCTTTAACAACAAAAAGTTTAGGAAGTATTTTAGTCCTCTAGCAGTTAAAAACCAAAACTGCGTGTACAGTAGTCAACATTTGAAGTGGATCAAAACCTTTCATCAAAGTTATACATGAATTTTGAAGAATACCCGGTCTTGTCTTAGGACAACTTTGATTAACTTTTTTGATCCACTTCAAATTTTGACTATTTTGAGGAAGAACATTGTTTTGGTTGTGCATTAGCATTAGCATTAGAGATTAATCTAGCCTACAGCTCATAGCTTTATTAACAGACGTGATATTACATGAAAATAAATTCCAGCAGCGCCAGCAACCATAATGAGATGACCCTTCACAATAGTAATTGCTTCACTGTTAGAGAGCCATTTATCTGTTCAATAAAACACCGTAATCACCTGTTGAGTAATTCGGCATCTGTTTAAAACGGGTGAATCTCCGGATGTCGGAGATTTAGCGGCTCCATGTCAACCTTTCTCACTCGTTGTGACAACTAACCCCTGCCACTCACACCAGGTCCAGGAGCAACTTTACTGTAGGCTATTTACGGATATGACGAGACACACACAGGCGAGTGACTCCTGTGCAC